AGTGCTCATTTTCCTCACATATTTTTTAACAGTTTTATTGGCACTTCATCCACACGTCACACAATTCAATACTTCAATAATATCAAAAACAAAAATCACAAAAATCTAAGTAAAATAACAGCAAAGACAAGATAATTTACAACAGGAGCTCAGCTCAAAAATTTTCAAGGATCAAAGACACCAACAACACCACACCCATCTACACCACACAGCAAAGTGACAGTAATAAATCCATACCTATTAATAATGACACTGAATTTAAATGAATTAAAAGCACCAATCACAAAGCAGCAGATTGGATAAGAAAGCAAGACATACCAATATGCTGTTTGCAAGAAACACACGTTAGATAAAAGATCAATACAGACTAAACTCAAAGGATGAAATAAAATATATCAAACTAATTGCAAACAAAAAACCATAAGTGCCCCATCTTCATCTCTGATAAAATAGACTTCAAGGCAAAACCCATCATAAGAGACAAAGAAGGACTTGCATATAAATTAAAGGGACAGTTGAACAAGAAGGTATAAACATAATAAACACCAATGCACTGAATGAAAGACATTGAAAATACTCCAATCACACCCTTATAAAGTTGAAGAGAGAGACATTACTACAATAATAGTAATGACATGACTATTGACATGATTTCAACTCACAGTGACTCTATGCACAAGATAAGGAAACGATGCCTGGTCCTATGCCACCCTCACAATTACTGTTCTGTTTGAAACCATTGTTGGAGCCAATGTGTCAGCTTATCTTCTTGATGGTCTTCCTCTTTTCTGATGACCCTCCACTTTGTCAACTATGATGTCTTATTCCAGGCACTGATCTCGTCTGATAACATGACCAAAGTACATGATACGAAGTCCTGACTTCTTCCCCTCAAAGGAGAATTCTGACTGGACTTTTTCCAAGATAGATTTGTTTTTCTGGTAGAAGAACAATGAAGCAAAACACATATATCATACCATGTACAAAAAGGAACTCAAAAAGGATTCAAGACCTAATGTAAACCCTAGCATGATGAAGATCATCAAGTTTAAAAAAACCAGAACCTTAAACACCTTAATACACAGCATAAACACACCAGGAAACAAAACATACACAGAGTGGAAGCCAAGGTAGAGGACAATGACCTTGTCCAGTGTCCTAAAACAGTAGTCTAGTATTAATCTCTGATAAAATAGATTTCAAGGCAAAATCTATCATGAGAGACAAAAGGATATTGCACATTAATTGATAGCAGAAGACACTTATCCACATCAAAGGACTTCATCAAAAGTATATATATATGTATATATATAAAAGAACCTGTAGACTGAGAAAAATTGGGGGCAATGATATATCAGACAAAGGATTAATCTGTAGAATTTACAGAAACTGCAGCAATTCATCATGAAACAGATGAACAATCCAATTTAAAAATAGGCAGAGAGCAATGATTGTTCACCACAGAAGGCATGAGAAGTGGTCAATAAACAAGTGAAGAAATCCCGGTGATCACTTGCCATTCAAGAGATGCAAATAAAAAACAACGATGAGATACCACCTTGCACTCCCCTTGACAGAAAGATTTTTAAAAACAAAGAGAAAACTCAAATACCAGAGAGGGTGGAGAGATTGGAACACTCACACTGTGCCGTGGGACTGTAAAAACTATACAACTGCTCTGGAAAGCGGCCTGGTATGTCTCCCAACAACTGGTAGTAGAAATGCCACATGACCCAGAAACCTCCACTCAGACTATGTGTTAGACCAGGTTGACTCGAGAAACAAATCTAGTGACACTCATCTGTGTCAAAGAAGAGCTTTATATCAAGAAGTCATTATATATGAAGAAGGCATCCCAACCCCAGTCCAATTCAAGTCTCTAAGTCCCTCTTCAGACTGATGTAGCTACGTGCAATGATGCAGAATGCAGGAAGATCCCAGGCCGGTACAAGGTCGGCGGAAACTTGGCAGAACACTGTTAGCTCCCAGAGTCAGGGACAGAGTCCCATCAAGCAACAAGGTGAAGGGTTGGGAGAAGGAGGGGAGAGGTTCCCAGAGTTCTCTAAGAAAGTCACACCCCAAGGAGGCATCATCAGACCTGATGATAGACCCTTACACTTTTTTTCAGTTTTTAAAATTTTTCATCTCTTTTATTAGAGATCCCAGCATTCATTTTTCTTTATGACTTGAGTAATTGACATCAGCAGCAACCGAGGATTGTTATAAATTGATTTTTTGTATGTATCTTTTAAAAAAATTATTTTAAAAATCCATACATTGAATCACGAGCCATACATTGATTGAATTAGGCATGTTTGTATATATGTTGCCTTCATTCTGTTCTAGAAATTTACTTTTTATTGGGCCCTTGGTATCGGCTCCTCTTTTTTTGTTCTTTGTCCCTCTCCGACTGCCCCCCACCCTCATAACCCCCTGACAGATTGTACATTGTTGTTATTTTCATCTCTCACACTGACCACTGTCTCCCCCCATGTTTTCTGTTCTTCCCCCTGTAGAGGGGTGTATGGTTATGTGTCGAGTATAAATTGATATTTGAAAATTGCTCAAAGGAGGGAATGTGGGGTGGAAAGGGGGAACCGATTACAAGAATCTACGTATAGCCTCCTCCCTGGGGGATGGACAGCAGAGGGTGGAGGGAGATGTAGGACAGTGTAACATATGACAAAATAATAATAATTTATGAATTATGAATTGTGAAGGGTTCATGAGGAAGGGGGCTGTGGGGAGGGAGGGGGAAAATGAGCAGCTGATATTAAGGGCTCAATTAGAAGACAAATGTTTTGAAAATGATGATGGCAACAAATGTACATATGTGCTTGACACAATGGATGTATGTATGGATTGTGATAAGAATTGTATGAGCTCCCAATAAAATGATTTGTTTTAAAAAGGTGGCAGGACAAGCTATTAAAAATAGCTTTATTGAGATATAATTCACACATCATATATTTCCATAATTCATTCATATTAAAATAGTTGTATAATAATCACTAAAACAGAGGTTTTGTAGTATGCACTTTTCCCTCTAGGTGAGCATCAAGCAACTCACTCTGAGTTAGTGCACCCAGTGGCGTCACCTGGGAAGGTTCTTTGGTCACAGTGAATTTTTCCATAAAGGCAGTTTCACTGGAACCTCCTTTTCTTGTGATGGCCTGTTTAAGAGAACACTGTGTGACTGTGAAATTGTGTTTCCTGCTTGGTAAAAATGCTGTAGAAACTGTTGTGATGCTGAACACAGTGTACAAGGGCAGCACTATGGGAAAAAACTTGTGTATGAGTGGTTTTCTCATTTCAAAAAATTGAAATGTCGATTGATGACAAACCTCATTCTGTGTCTCTGTTAACTTTCCAAAGAGACAAAAATGTCAACGAAATTCATGCATTTGTGCTCAAAGACCAACGACAGATATTGAAGAGATTGGGAAGTAATCTGGACTATTTTGGAGCTTCATTTAACAAATTTTAGCCAAAGATTTTGTAATAAGAAAGGGCATTGCAAAATATATACTTCAGGTTCTGACTGACCAGGAAAAAGAACGCCGAGAGGTACATGCCTTGCTTTGAAAGAACAGGTCCAAAGTGACCCAGATGTTTTTTACAAGGTCATTAATGGTGACAAGACATGGTGCTATTCTTAAAACCTTGAAAGCAAACATCAATCAAGCCAGTGGAAGATGCCATCATCATCACACCCAAGAACAGCTTGTAAAGTGGAATCAAAGATCAAGATGATGCACATTAGTTTTTTTGAAATGAGGGGGATAGTGTATTTGGAGTTCATTCTACCAGGTCAGACTGTTAATTGAGCTTTCTATTTAGAGGTTCTGCATAACAGTGTGTGATAAAAAACAACCTGATTTGTGGCAGACTGGAGACTGTTTTTGCCACCACAACAATGCACCTGCTCTTGCAGCCATCTCAGTGCACCCGTTTTTGGAAAAAAAAAAATCAGCATGCCTCTCTTGCCCCACACACCTTACTCACCTGACCTTGCTCCTTGTGACTTCTTTTTGTTTCTGCAAATGAAGAGGGTCATGAGAGATAGCAATTTGATGATGTAGAAGAGGTGAAGGAAAAAAAAGAGGGAGGTGCTGTCAGCCATCCAAGCAGATGAGTTTGAAAAATGTGTCCAATAATGGAATTGCAGATTTGACAAATGTATTAAGGGTAATGGAGAGTATGTTGAAGGTGATAAGGTTATTTTATATAAAAAATTTAATTCATAGCTTTGAAAAAAAATCCATTATTTTGGGGGTACCCCCTCATAGTGCTACAGCAAATGTGGTGAAGAAAGTAGATGGTGCCTGGCTATCAAAAAGATTAGTGTCTGGAGTCTTAAAGGCTTGTCTTAAAACAAGCAGCCATCTAACTGTGGTGTCAACTAAGTCCACATGGAGAAAGATACCAACCAGGCTGTGTAATCCAAGGATAATAAATAAGAAAATCCAATTTGAAAGGAGGGAATGAAATCGGAGCTTAAATTGTGAACACCCAATTTGCAGAAGGCTATGGATGACAGTGGAAGCCAAAGATCCCTACATGGATTAAGCCTTTCTGACCATAGTCAAGGGATGTGAATATCCTTTATATCAGAGTATTCTAAACTTGATTATGGCAGATGTAATTAGGTTAATATGGAATACCTAAGGACAAACTTTTTTGATGTTATTTGATATGTTGCTTAATAAGTTGTTTAAATACAAAAGGATGATCTGAAATATAAAGCCCTGCCTAATTCACAATAAAAAGTTTTGTTTTTTTTTAAGGAACAGCATTGCCAGCATATATATATATACATACTCACTTATGTTAATTCACAATAGCAAGGAGATGGAAATAACGCAAATTTCCCTCCATCAAAGAATGCATAAATAAACTTTGGAACATAAAACAGTGGGATACTACACATCACTAAAGAATAATGTTGAAACTATGGAACACTTCATGAGATTGATGGATGTAGAGGACCCCGTCGAGCGATGTCAGTAAAACACAAAGGACAGATATCTTATGGGACCACTATTATAAAAAATTAAGGTGAAATTTATCATGCTGACCAATAAACAAAACAGCTTTCGATGGTTCCCAGAGGTAGGAGGGGAAGGCGGTGATGGGGAAGTGATAAGGTAGAGGGGAAGGCAGGTGTTGATTTGGTGAAAGGGAGGCTAAAAGTCGACAGAAGTGAGATGGGAAAAAGTGGGGTGGGCAAGTTATGGGGAGAGTTGATAAATTGCTGAAGTTGTAGAATAAAAATATAATAATGGGCTATGTAAACTCCCATCTAATTTACAATAGAAGTATAAAAGAAAAGGGGGAAAAAACTAGAGCTGGAGTGGATTTAAGAGTAGTCCATTCGGAGGCGTTTTTGTGTATTAAGAGACATGGATTTTGATGTTCTTGAAAATCAGATGCTAAATAAATCCTAGAGCCAGTAGATGGTTTAGTGAAAGCCAGAGGGCAGTGGACACCTTCCCACTGGCCAAAGGCCTCTACTCAGGCATTCCGTTTTCACATAAAAGGAATGAGCATTGAAGTCTGCCCCATTTCCAATCCAAATGAACTAGCAAAAACCATCAGAAAAGAAAAATGGCCAAAGAAGATTTTTGCTTTTCCTCCCAGGTCTTATAGCCATTTGCACTGTGCATGGAGCACTTATGGACAGGCTTGCTTCCAAGAAGCTCTGTACAGAAGAGAAGTGTGCCTGTAAGAATTGTTTCTGCGTTCTCCTCATCTTTCTACTTTGTAACTGAAAACACATTCACTTGTTTCTGTCCGTGTGGTTTCTTTATTTGGAGAATTTGCTTGTCTAACGTTTTGGCAGATGCTGCTTTAAGCCTTAGTTATTTTACTCTTCTTGAATTGAACCTGAGCCATGTGTTCTGAGGTCTGGGTCACCCTGATCTACCAACTCTGTAATGTGCTTTGCCTTTTTATTAATGTTATAAAATGCAGGGGCCTAAAATGCAATCATTTCAATTTTTTCCCAACAGGTATGATTTTGATGGCCATAGCTCAAGAAGTTACAGAGGCACAGACTGTAGACTCACTAAATGTTAAAAAAAACAAAAACACCTGGCAGCAGATTTGTATTTTTTCAAAGCTGGTAAAAGAAAATGCAGCTGGAGAGTTTGGGGCTGGCAGCGTAGGAGATTACTAGAAAATATACATGTCGGGGGGAGCAGGGAGGGAGGGGAAAATGAGGACCTAATGTTGGGGGTTTAAGTGGAGAAAAGTGTTTTGAGAATGATGTACAAATGCGCTTTACACAATTGACGTATGTATGGATTGCGATAACAGTTGTATGAGCCCCTAATAAAATGTTTTAAAAAATTTTTTTAAAAAAAGAAAATATACATGTCTTGATATAGGTTGCTCATGATATTTCTTCTATTACCCATGTTTAATGTATTTTAAGCTTTAAAAACCGTTCAGAAAAATGTTGAGATTATAAATGTATATCCTGGCCAGGTTGGCACAATAAACTACCTCAATTCAACCCTTGCCAACTTGGCACGTGTACATAATTCTTTAGCCTCACAATTGCAATTAAGTAATATCTACACCTTAATCCTATTATCCTGTGAATATGCTCCCCCACCTATGAAAGTTTGTAAGCCAACCACTTAATGCCTTTATCCCCCCAATTTTGAGTATCCAATTTATATACTGCCCACTTACATCAACCCAGTTCTCTGAGAAGACAATCATATTTTTGACATGAAGAGTCTTCATTCCAGTTGTAACCTTATGAAGTCTGCATCCATAAGCAAAGTCAAATCTGGACAGGCCATCCATAAAGTCAGCAATAATATGCACCAGTTCACAGGCTCAAAAATCTCCATCTGGTGGGTTCTGGTCAACTCAATGTGGCTGCCTCCCTCAGCCTCCACAGGGAGCCCATTGGTTGCCTTGCCTTTAGACCATGGGCTCTCACCAATACTCAACAAGCCTTGCCCCCTCGTGCTTGGTCATGAACTTTAGACCAGTCAACCCACTCTCATTTTCTTCTTTGTTTTCCCCTGTAAACCAAGTCCACAGGTATCAGTGGCCAAACTCAACCTGCATTTCTCCCACTTCCACTCAACAAGTAGATCCAGGTGGTCACTTAGCAAGCATTTCAGCCTGCTCACAGGCTCCCTTTAACATTCAGTCCCAGAGAGGAGTTTTCTTCTTGGTTCCAGATTTTTTCCAGCTTCTGACAAAGACCACTGGCTCCTGAGTACTCCAAAGCACTGGGTGGGGCATATATATTTCAAAGCTTTCTTTGCAGGCATGGCCTAAACCCATCTAAAGATCACATTTTAATGGCTAAAAGCAAGTGGGCTTACAAACTTTCTATTTTCATACTTCCCATATTTTTCCCCAGGAAACAATTGAGTAAAGTGTGGCTTTATCTGACCTCTGGCTAGACAAAGAAAAGCTACCATGAGGGAGAGGTCAAACAAACATCTACTCTCCATCTTATGATTTGTTCTCTAGTACCCCACCCCCAAAGTACCATAATGTGTTAGTCTGGGTACTTTAAAGAAACAAATCCACAGAAATTAATATGCATAAGAGAGAGTTTTATATAAAGGTTAAGTGCACATCAAGAAAACATCCCAACCCAGTGCTGCCCAAGCCCACAATTCCAACATTAACCCATTAACCCATATGTCCAACACCAACACACAAAGTCCTCCTCCATCTCACAAAACACACACTATGATGCCGACTGCAGGAGGAAATCCGAGTCAGTGAATGTGTAAGCATCTCAGCGCTGGCAAGGGTCTCCACACAGGTGCTCCAGCACCCAGGGCTGCATCGGGGTGGGTCCACATGACTTCTCCTCAGGGATGTGTTGCAGGAAGTCAAACTTCACAGCTAAAGCAGGGAACTGGCCAAGGCAGCTACACCCTGGTGCAACCATCACAAAGCAACAGACCAGAGAACTCCAAAGGCGAGGCTCGCCGAGCCATTTATCCCTCCGCCCTTCAATTAACCCCACATATGTTTTTCGGGCAGGTTGGCACAATAAACTACCTCACCCCCCAAAATCATACATATGTGCTAAAATTTCATTTTTAAGAAATGAAGTTTCTTAACAAAGCCAAACATAGGTTACTATGATGTTTTGTCAAGAGAGCCAAATACAGTTTGAATCTTATTTTAAAATGTCTAAGAGGATCTATCAAGTAGAAAGCATCAGTGTTGGCAGTCCATATATGTTTCTGTATTCTTTTAGGGTACTTTAGCACCCTCTTTAATTCCAAAGTTTCTGCTTCTTTCAGTTAAAACATTCAATGTGACGAGGCAGCTAGAGAGGAAGAAAGCAGGCGGTTTGCTGCACTTGCCTGTATCACCGAAGACAGGGTCTCAAGTAATAGTCAAATCATTTAAATATATGTTCATTTGAGAGATATGATACCGCTAGGATAAAATATTCCTTTTTTAACTTTGTTGTATATATGTATAAGCTCCAAAAAAGTTTTCAGACAACTCGCAAGACGGTATAACATAAAAACCAGTGCCACTTGTTCAGAGTTAATTCAGATTCATGTTGATCTCCTGTGTGGGTCAGAGCAGATACATTCTCCATAGGCTTTTCAATGACTTTTTTTCCCCTCAGAAATAAATTGCTAGGTCTTTCTTCCAAGGTGCTTCTGGGGTGGCCTCTAATTTTCATCCTTTCAGGTAGCAGGCAAGCATATTAGCTGTTTGTAACACCTAGGAACTCCTCCATAAAGTAATGATAAGTTGGTGAGACCACAAGATTGGGGCCCAGTGCCTATACCTGAACTTCAAATTTATCTCTGAGCCCTCTGGAATCCGGAGTGAAAAGGGAGGCGTTCATAGTTACGTAATAATTTCACGCTCTCAATAAAGAGGTATGCATGAAAATTTCTCAGAAGAAAATTTATTTTAGCTTTACTCCAACTGTTTCTGTATTGGAGGAGCACTCAGGTCTGTGGTAATGGTCATGAAGATGAGCTGTGTCTGCAGCCCCTTGGTCCAAGGGCAGCGTGTATACAGGGAAGTGTCCATAGTAAGCATCTCAGAGGGGCCAAGGAGGACTCACATGAGCTGGGGTAATGTGAGCTGATTTAAAAGATGCTTCATGTACCTTCTGTGATACGTCAAATCCCCCAACTTCCAGCAATCGCTTCAGAACTAATAAAGTTTTAAGGAACATTTATAATTACTGCTGATGACAAAGTATGCCCGCCCCTTTGCCCTTTTGGTTTAGGTCTAAGTGTTCTTAGAATGGAACCAAATCACAAAGAAAGATAAAATCCAAAATAACATTAACTGAGTCTTATTATGGTTACACTTATTTAATAAAGTTACATTTGGAAAAAATTAAAGCACCTGCATTTAATAAAACTAGAGCATTCTGGAAAAATCCTTTTTTTTTTTTTTTCAATTGTTCTTGTTTTTTTAAAAATCATTTTATTGGGAGCTCTCACTGATATCATAACATTCCATAGTTCAATCACATCAAGCAGTATTGTGAAATTGCTGCTGCAATCGGTTTCAAAATATTTTCTTTCTTCTTGAACTACTTGATACCAGCTCTCCCTTATCCGCTCCCTCCCCTGACATACCTATCAGGAACCCTTATTTTTTGGTCATATCTTACATCATCCAATGTGTCTGTTTTTTGTTCCCCTCCAGTAGGGTTATACAGTCATCAGTGCTATCAGTTCTCCCTTCCCCCACTTCCTCACCACCACCACCCCTTTTCCCATACCCTCAGGGAACAATTACTCTTGTTACTGTTTCTGAAGAGTTATCTATCTTGGCTTTCATGTACTGAGCTATGTTAATTATACAAATAAACACACACACACAAATCTAGCATGATTAAGGATGTAAAACAGATACAAACCATAATAGAAAGGAGAGGAAATCCTAAAGAACTAGAGGATAGTTATGTATATCACTTCTGTAACATACCCTGGATTTACCATCCCTGTCATGTGACCCTTCTGAGACGGACTGTCCAATTATCTTGCAGGTGAGTTTTGGGTCTCCACTACATCCAAGCTACTTCAGATCAATTTGGTTGCTTGTTTTTGAACATCTAATACGTATTCCCATCGACACTTCATGATCACACAGGCTGGTGTGCTTCTTTCATGAGAACTTCTTCCATGTGGGCTTTGTTGCTTCTCTACTAGATGGCCACTTGTTTTAACTTCAAGTCTTTAAGACACCAGATGCTATATCTTTTGATAGCCAAGCACCATCCACTTTTTTCACCACATTTGCTTATGCACCTATTTTGTCTTCAGCAATTTTGCCAGGAGGGTGAGCATCACAGAATATCAGTTTGTTAGAACAAAGTGTTCTTGCATTGAGGGAGGGCATGAGCAGAGGCCTGAAGTCTATCCACTATCTCAGTTTATTGCCATATAAATATATGTTCCTAGTCCAATACCTCTATTTTTAGGAATTAATGTATTTACATATGTACACACCTATGTTTATACCTCTATCCATAGCTTTGCTTCCTAGATCGTTCCTGTTTCCTTTAACCTTCCTCCTGCCCCACCATCACTACTTACGCCTCTTAGTAATTCCTCTCTGCTAGATTGCTGTTTGCTCCAACACCCCCAGGGTCTCTATGTCCTCCTTGTTGTTGGTTTTAATTCCCTAGTTGTTTCTCTGTCTCTGGCATTATTTGCACACTGCTCCCTTTCCCCACCTCCTCCCTCAAGTCCCTCCAAGACTGTTGGTCCTTTTGCTTTCTCCTCGAGCTTGCTTTGCATGGTTGTGTTATATAATAAGTAGGCAAGCCAACAATATCAAAGACCAAAAGAAAAAAAAAAGATAGAGAAAAAGAGAAAAAAACCACACATAATTCCAGGTCTGTCCACTAACCTTTATGACTATCTCTCCACTGGACCGGGGGGAATTCCTGGAGCTTCCCCTCCTGGCCTGAAGTCTAACATGGAGAAATCCATAAAAAGATTGGGCTACAACAAGGCTGGGCCCAATTAGCCAAACTGACTTCCTTACTATAAGTGTATTAATCTGGGTGCTTTAGAGAAACAAATCTACGGAAACTTATATATAAGAGACAGTTTTATATAAAGGTTAACTGCACATCAAGAAAACATCCAGACCCAGTGCTGCCCAAACCCACAAGTCCAACATTAACCCATATGTCCGACA